TGATGTACATGGGGGGGGGGTTCGCGGTGCAGAAGTCAGCAGGAAGTGCAGCGCGGTAGCGAGTGTCACTAGTGCGGAGGTGCGTAATGAGGTCAGCAACGGTGGGAAAAGAAGCAAGGTCAGGGAAGAGGTACGGCAGCATGAGACGGCTCAGTGCAGCAGTGGAAGGGGAGGAGTAGCGCGCGACTACAGCGGCGTACAAGGTCTGAGCACTCTTGTACTGACTAAAGTGCGCACGCTCGGAGGTAGGGAGGTGGCGACGCACAGCAAGACGTGCAGCAGCATCGCGCGTGGCCCACTGGGAGCGAACAGTGGCGTCAGCATCAGCAGCAGGGGCAGAGGAAGCGCCAGAGGTGAGGTCAAAGAGAGAGAGGCCGTCCGCCCTATCGCACTGTAAGAACAGCTGTAGGTCATCTACCCAGACCTCAAAGTCAATGGCCCGACCCTCAGCGTCAAAAGTGAGGACACTAGGGGTAGCCATGACAGCAGTAGACCAGCAGTGCAAGGAGTAGGGGAAGAGCACGCAGTGACAGAGGGTCTGTGCTCACCGGACAGGGCTGCTCGGGCGGCTCGGCTGCAGGGCGGCTCGGCGGCTGGGCGGCTCGGCGGCTGGGCGGCTCGGCGGCTGGGCGGCTCGGCAGCTGGGCGGCTCGGCGGCTGGGCGGTCGGCTGCACGGCGGCTCGACTGGTGGGCGGCCGGGCGGCTCGGCTGCAGCGCGGCTCGGCGGCGGGGCGGCTCGGCTGCTCTGCTGCTGGGCGGCTCGGCTGCGCTGCTGTTGGGCGGCTCGGCTGGGCCGCTGACGTAGGGCGGCGGGGCCGCTGAAGAAGGACGGCGGGGCCGCTGGGTAGTGAGGCGGCGGGGCCGCGAAGACGGGCGGCGGGGCCGCTGCAGAGAAGCGGCGGGGCCGCAGTGAAGGGCGGCGGGGCCGCAACGAGAGAGGCGGCGGGGCCGCAGCGAGAGAAGCGGCGGGGCCGCGAAGTCGGGCGGCGGGGCCGCTGAGTAGGGCGGCGGGGCCGCAGTGAGAGGCGGCGGGGCCGCAGCGAGAGAGGCGGCGGGGCCGCGAAGACGGGCGGCGGGGCCGCTGAGACGGGTGGCGGGGCCGCAGTGAGTGGCGGCGGGGCCGCAGCGAGAGATGGCGGCGGGGCCGCGAAGACGGGCGGCGGGGCCGCAACGAGAGAGGCGGCGGGGCCGCAGAAAGGGGCGGCGACGGGCCGTAGGCGGCGCGAAGCCGCAGGTAAGGGCGGCGACGGGCCGGGGCGGCTCGAAGCCGCAGGTAGAGGCGGCGCGAAGCCGCGGGAAGGGCGGCGACGGGCCTGGGCGGCGCGAAGCCGCAGGTAGGGGCGGCGCGAAGCCGCCGGTGAGGGCGGCGCAAAGCCGCGGGTAAGGGCGGCGACGGGCCGGGAAAAGGGCGGCGCGCCGCAGCCGCTAGGGCGGCTCGACGCGACCGTAAGGGCGGCGCGACGGGCTGCTAGGTGCGACTCGACGGGCCGCTAAAAAAAAAGGCAGGCGCGACTCGAGGCGCGCTTCGGTGGGCCCAAGGAACAGTCCCTAGGTGGGGACCTGCTCTGATTCCATGTGAAAATGAGAACGAGAATGGATGAACTATGAAATGAATTGAGTACAAATATGAAACCCTAATTGGTTGTACCCCCTATGGGATACCCCACTATAGCCTACATAACAGCATAAGCTACAATGTTCTGACACTTGCCATGTGATTCCATTTCATTCCATATGTTTTGCAAGATGTGAGTGTCAAAATAGTAGATTAAGTTAAGGCTAGGGTTTGGGGTACGAGGAGACTTGAGAGAGGAACATGTCGAGAGAGTTTTGCCAAAGAGGTTCAATAATGAGAAATGGTACAAAGTTATAGGCAAGAAACAAGTGGTTCACCACCAACAGTTTATACTAGCTACACTAAACTACAGCTACAGGCAGTTACAGATATATTATAACAGTGAGCGTTTCAACTTTGCATGGTACGCTCCCTACGTGTGCGCACACTGACCACCCTGATCAATGCATCACTTTGACTGGCTGTACGAACTGGATCGCCTTCGTATTAGGTTAGTTCACTAGATTAGACTATTTTCTACCTACGTGCCATGAGATTCCATTTCATTCCATATGGTTTGCAAGATATGAGCGTTCCAACTTTGCCTGGTACGCTCCCTACGTGTGCGCATACCGACCACTCTGATCAGTGCATCATATTGACTGGCCATACGAACTGGATGCCCTTTGTATTAGGTTGGTTCACTAGTCTATATTTTTTTCTACCTACGTGCCAAGTGATTCCATTTCATTCCATATACCATTTTGCAGAATATGAGCATTTTTACTATGCCTGGTACGCGCTCCCTACGTGTGCGCATACTGACCACCCTAATCAATGCATTGCTTTGACTGACCATACGAACTGGATGCCTTTTGTATTATGTTAACTCACCAGATAAGACTATTTTCTACCTACTTGCCATGCGATTCCATTTCATTCCGTGTATTTTGCAAGATATGAGCTTTTCAACTCTGCCTGGTATGCTCCCTACATGTGCCACACTGACCACCCTGATCAATGCATCGCTTTGACTGGCCATACGAACTGCATGCCCTTTATATCAGGTTAGTTAACTAGATTGTACTGTTTTCTACCTACGTGCCATGTGATTCCGTTTCATTCCATGTATTTTGCAAGATATGAGCGTTTCAACACACGCTCCCTTTATGTGCGCATACCGACCACCCTTATCAATGCATCGCTTTGACTATCCATGCAAACTGGGTGCCCTTTGTATTAGGTTAGTTCACTAGATTAAACTGTTTTCTACCTACTTGCCATGCGATTCCATTTCATTCCGTGTATATTGCAAAATATGAGCGTTTCAACTCTGCCTGGTACGCTCCCTACATTTGCGCATACCGACCACCCTCATCAATGCATTGCTTTGACTATCCATACGAACTAGATGCCATTTGTAGTAGGTTAGTTCACTAGATAACACTGTTTTCTACCTACATGCTATGTGGTTCCATTTCATTCCATGTATTTTGCAAGATATGAGCTTTTCAACTCTGCCTGGTACGCTCCCTACATGGGCGCATACCAACCACCCTGATCAATGCACCGTTTTGACGATTTATTCGAACTGGAGACCCATTGTATAAGGTTATTTCACTAGATTAGACCGTTTTGTACCTACGTGCCATGTGGTTCCATTTCATTCCATGTACTTTGCAAGATATGAATGTTTCACCTCTGCTTGGTACGCTCCCTACATGTGCGCATACCGACCACCCTGATCAATCCGTCACTTTGACTGGCCATACGAACTGGGTGCTGTTTGCATTAGGTTCACTAGATTAAACTCTTTTCTACCAACGTGCCATGTGGTTCCATTTTATTCAATGTATTTTGCAAGATATGAGCGTTTCAACTGTGCCTGATACGCTCCCTACATGTGCACATACTGACCACCCTTATCTATGCATCACATTGACTAGCCATACGAACTGAATGCCCTTTGTATTACATTAGTCCACTAGATAAGACTGCTTCTAGCTACGTGCCATGTGATTCCATTTCATTCCATATATTGCAAGATGTGAGCGTTTCAACCCTGCCTGGTACGCTCCCTACATGTGCGCATACCGACCACCCTGATCAAGGCATCACTTTAATCGGCCCTACGAACTGGATGCCCGTTGTATTAGGCTAGTTCACTACACTAGACTATTTTCTACCTACTTGCCGATTCCATTTCAATCAATATATTTTGCAAGATATGAGCGTTTCAATCCCGCCTGGTACGCTCCCTACATGTGCTCATACCGACCACCCTGATCAATGCATCACTTTGATTGGCCAAACAAACAGGATGCCCTGTGTATTAGGTTAGTCCACTAGATTGGACTATTTTCTACCTACTTGCCTCTGCGATTCCATTTCATTCCATGTATTTTGCACGATATGAGTGTTTAATACCTGCATGGTACGCTCCCTACATGTGCGCATACCAACCATCCTGATCAATGCATCACTTTGATCGGCCATACGAACTGGATGCCTTTTGTATTATGTTAGTTCACTAGACTAGACTATTTTTTACTTACTTGCATTGCGATTCCATTTCATTCCATATATTTTGCAAGATATGAGCTTTTCAACTCTACCTGGTACGCTCCCTACATGTGCGCATATCGACCACCCTGATCAATGCATAACTTTGATCGGCCATACGAACTGATGCTCTTTGTATTAGGTTAGTTTACTAAATTATACTATATTCTACCTACTTGCCTTTGTGATTCCATTTCATTCTCGATGTTCTGCAAGATATGAGTGTTTCAACTCTACCTGGTACGCTCCATATAGGCGAACGAAGCGCATGGATCCCTATAGGCGTAGGGAAAAGAATTGAACGACCTGGATGTTGTTGTATATTCGGTTGGCCCATGTTCTCATACACCTACCAGATCAATTTCAGTTGGGTTCGTGCACACAGAAAAGTTCGGCGTTTGCGATGACGGCTGTGTCTGCCGACAAATGCTAACGAAGTGCATGGATCCATATAGGCGTAGGGAAAAGCATCGAACGACCTGGATGTTGTTGGATATTAGGGTGTTCCATGCTCACATACACCTACCAGAGCAATTTTAGCTTGGTTCGTGCACACAGAGAAGTTCGGCGCCTGCGATGACGACTGTGTCTGCTGACAAATAATAACAAAGCGCATGAATCCCTATAGACGTAGGGAAAAACATCAAACGGCATGAATGTTGTTGCATATTCAGGTGGCCCATGCTCAAATACACATACCAGAGCAATTTCAGCTTGGTTTGTGCGCACAGAAAAGTTCGGCGCATGCGATGACGGCTGTGTCTGCCGACAAATGGCAACGGAGCGCATGGATCTCTATAGGCGTAGGGAAAATCATCGAACGACCTGAATGCTGTTGCATATTCGGGTGGCCCATGCTCAAATACACTTACCAGAGCAAGTTCAGCTTGGTTCGTTCGCACAAAAACGTTTGGCGCCGGTGATGGAAGCGGGAGAATGGGGCGGGGTGATGGAAGGAGGGAGAATGGGGCGGGGTGATGGAAAGCGGGAGAATGTGGCGGGGTGATGGAAAGCGGGAGAATGGGGCGGGGTGATGGAAAGCGGGAGAATGGGGCGGGGTGATGGAAAGCGGGAGAATGGGGCGGGGTGATGGAAGGAGGGAGAATGGGGCGGGGTGATGGACGGAGGGACAATGGGGCGGGTGATGGAAAGCGGGAGAATGGGGCGGGGTGATGGAAGGAGGGAGAATGGGGCGGGGTGATGGAAGGAGGGAGAATGGGGCGGGTTGATGGAAGGAGGGAGAATGGGGCGAGGTGATGGAAAGCGGGAAAATGGGCCGGGGTGATGGAAAGCGGGAGAATGGGGCGGGGTGATGGAAGGAGGGAGAATGGGGCGGGGTGATGGAAGGAGGGAGAATGGGGCGGGGTGATGGAAAGCGGGAGAATGGGGCGGGGTGATGGAAAGCGGGAGAATGGGGCGGGGTGATGGAAGGAGGGAGAATGGGGCGTGGTGATGGAAGAAGGGAGACTGGGGCGGGGTGATGGAAAGCGGGAGAATGGGGCGGGGTGATGGAAAGCGGGAGAATGGGGCGGGGTGATGGAAAGCGGGAGAATGGGGCGGGGTGATGGAAAGCGGGAGAATGGGGCGGGGTGATGGAAAGCGGGAGAATGGGGCGGGGTGATGGAAGGAGGGAGAATGGGGCGGGGTGATGGAAGGAGGGAGAATGGGGCGGGGTGATGGAAAGCGGGAGAATGGGGCGGGGTGATGAAAAGCGGGAGAATGGGGCGGGGTGATGGAAAGCGGGAGAATGGGGCGGGGTGATGGAAAGCGAGAGAATGGGGCAAGGTGATGGAAGGAGGGAGAATGGGGGGGGGGGTGATGGAAGGAGGGAGAATGGGGCGGGGTGATGGAAGGAGGGAGAATGGGGCGGGGTGATGGAAAGCAGGAGAATGGGGCGGGGTGATGGAAAGCGGGAGAATGGGGCGGGGTGATGGAAAGAGGGAGAATGGGGCGGGGTGATGGAAAGCGGGAGAATGGGGTGGGGTGATGGAAAGCGGGAGAATGGGGCGGGGTGATGGAAGGAGGGAGAATGGGGCGGGGTGATGGAAGGAGGGAGAATGGGGCGGGGTGATGGAAGGAGGGAGAATGGGGCGGGGTGATGGAAAGCGGGAGAATGGGGCGGGGTGATGGAAAGCGGGTAAATGGGGCGGGGTGATGGAAAGCGGGAGAATGGGGCGGGGTGATGGAAAGCGAGAGAATGGGGCAGGGTGATGGAAAGCGGGAGAATGGGGCGGGGTGATGGAAGGAGGGAGAATGGGGCGGGGTGATGGAAAGCGGGAGAATGGGGCGGGGTGATAGAAAGCGGGACAATGGGGCGGGGTGATGGAAAGCGGGAGAATGTGGCGGGGTGATGGAAAGCGGGAGAATGGGGCGGGGTGATGGAAAGCGGGAGAATGGGGCGGGGTGATGGAAAGCGGGAGAATGGGGCGGGGTGATGGAAGGAGGGAGAATGGGGCGGGGTGATGGAAGGAGGGAGAATGGGGCGGGGTGATGGAAAGCGGGAGAATGGGGCGGGGTGATGGAAAGCGGGAGAATGGGGCGGGGTGATGGAAAGCGGGAGAATGAGGCGGGGTGATAGAAAGCGGAAGAATGGGGCGGGGTGATGGAAAGCGGGAGAATGGGGCGGGGTGATGGAAAGCGGGAGAATGGGGCGGGGTGATGGAAAGCGGGAGAATGGGGCGGGGTGATGGAAGGAGGGAGAATGGGGCGGGGTGATGGAAGGAGGGAGAATGGGGCGGGGTGATGGAAAGCGGGAGAATGGGGCGGGGTGATGGAAAGCGGGAGAATTTGGCGGGGTGATGGAAAGCGGGTGAATGGAGCGGGGTGATGGAAGGAGGGAGAATGGGGCGGGGTGATGGAAAGCGGGAGAATGGGGCGGGGTGATGGAAAGCGGGAGAATGGGGCGGGGTGATGGAAGGAGGGAGAATAAGGCGGGGTGATGGAAGGAGGGAGACTGGGGCGGGGTGATGGAAAGCGGGAGAATGGGGCAGGGTGATGGAAAGCGGGAGAATGGGGCGGGGTGATGGAAAGCGGGAGAATGGGGCGGGGTGTTGGAAGGAGGGAGAATGGGGCGGGGTGATGGAAGGAGGGAGAATGGGGCGGGGTGATGGAAGGAGGGAGAATGGGGCGGGGTGATGGAAGGAGGGAGAATGGGGCGGGTTGATGGAAGGAGGGAGAATGGGGCGGGGTGATGGAAAGCGGGAAAATGGGGCGGGGTGATGGAAAGCGGGAGAATGGGGCGGGGTGATGGAAGGAGGGAGAATGGGGCGGGGTGATGGAAGGAGAGAGAATGGGGCGGGGTGATGGAAAGCGGGAGAATGGGGCGGGGTGATGGAAAGCGGGAGAATGGGGCGGGGTGATGGAAGGAGGGAGAATGGGGCGGGGTGATGGAAGAAGGGAGACTGGGGCGGGGTGATGGAAAGCGGGAGAATGGGGCGGGGTGATGGAAAGCGGGAGAATGGGGCGGGGTGATGGAAAGCGGGAGAATGGGGCGGTGTGATGGAAAGCGGGAGAACGGGGCGGGGTGATGGAAAGTGGGAGAATGGGGCGGGATGATGGAAGGAGGGAGAATGGGGCGGGGTGATGGAAGGAGGGAGAATGGGGCGGGGTGATGGAAAGCGGGAGAATGGGGCGGGGTGATGGAAAGCGGGAGAATGGGGCGGGGTGATGGAAAGCGGGAGAATGGGGCGGGGTGATGGAAAGCGGGAGAATGGGGCGGGGTGATGGAAGAAGGGAGACTGGGGCGGGGTGATGGAAAGCGGGAGAATGGGGCGGGGTGATGGAAAGCGGGAGAATGAGGCGGGGTGATAGAAAGCGGAAGAATGGGGCGGGGTGATGGAAAGCGGGAGAATGGGGCGGGGTGATGGAAAGCGGGAGAATGGGGCGGGGTGATGGAAAGCGGGAGAATGGGGCGGGGTGATGGAAGGAGGGAGAATGGGGAGGGGTGATGGAAGGAGGGAGTATGGGGCGGGGTGATGGAAAGCGGGAGAATGGGGCGGGGTGATGGAAAGCGGGAGAATTTGGCGGGGTGATGGAAAGCGGGTGAATGGAGCGGGGTGATGGAAGGAGGGAGAATGGGGCGGGGTGATGGAAAGCGGGAGAATGGGGCGGGGTGATGGAAAGCGGGAGAATGGGGCGGGGTGATGGAAAGCGGGTGAATGGAGCGGGGTGATTGAAAGCGGCAGAATGGGGCGGGGTGATGGAAAGCGGGAGAATGGGGCGGGGTGATGGAAAGCAGGAGAACGGGGCGGAGTGATGGAAGGAGGGAGAATGGGGCGGGGTGATGGAAGGAGGGAGAATGGGGCGGGGTGATGGAAAGCGGGAGAATGGGGCGGGGTGATGGAAAGCGGGAGAATGGGGCGGGGTGATGGAAGGAGGGAGAATGAGGCGGGGTGATGGAAGGAGGGAGACTGGGGCGGGGTGATGGAAAGCGGGAGAATGGGGCAGGGTGATGGAAAGCGGGAGAATGGGGCGGGGTGATGGAAAGCGGGAGAATGGGGCGGGGTGATGGAAGGAGGGAGAATGGGGCGGGGTGATGGAAGGAGGGAGAATGGGGCGGGGTGATGGAAGGAGGGAGAATGGGGCGGGGTGATGGAAAGCGGGAGAATGGGGCGGGGTGATGGAAAGCGGGAGAATGGGGCGGGGTGATGGAAAGCGGGTGAATGGAGCGGGGTGATGGAAAGCGGGAGAATGGGGCGGGGTGATGGAAAGTGGGAGAATGGGGCGGGGTGATGGAAAGCGAGAGAATGGGGCAGGGTGATGGAAAGCGGGAGAATGGGGCGGGGTGATGGAAGGAGGGAGAATGGGGCGGGGTGATGGACGGAGGGACAATGGGGCGGGGTGATGGAAAGCGGGAGAATGGGGCGGGGTGATGGAAGGAGGGAGAATGGGGCGGGGTGATGGAAGGAGGGAGAATGGGGCGGGTTGATGGAAGGAGGGAGAATGGGGCGGGGTGATGGAAAGCGGGAAAATGGGGCGGGGTGATGGAAAGCGGGAGAATGGGGCGGGGTGATGGAAGGAGGGAGAATGGGGCGGGGTGATGGAAGGAGAGAGAATGGGGCGGGGTGATGGAAAGCGGGAGAATGGGGCGGGGTGATGGAAAGCGGGAGAATGGGGCGGGGTGATGGAAGGAGGGAGAATGGGGCGGGGTGATGGAAGAAGGGAGACTGGGGCGGGGTGATGGAAAGCGGGAGAATGGGGCGGGGTGATGGAAAGCGGGAGAATGGGGCGGGGTGATGGAAAGCGGGAGAATGGGGCGGTGTGATGGAAAGCGGGAGAATGGGGCGGGGTGATGGAAAGTGGGAGAATGGGGCGGGATGATGGAAGGAGGGAGAATGGGGCGGGGTGATGGAAGGAGGGAGAATGGGGCGGGGTGATGGAAAGCGGGAGAATGGGGCGGGGTGATGGAAAGCGGGAGAATGGGGCGGGGTGATGGAAAGCGGGAGAATGGGGCGGGGTGATGGAAAGCGGGAGAATGGGGCGGGGTGATGGAAAGCGGGAGAATGGGGCGGGGTGATGGAAAGCGGGAGAATGGGGCGGGGTGATGGAAAGCGGGAGAATGGGGCGGGGTGATGGAAAGCGGGAGAATGGGGCAGTGTGATGGAAGGAGGGAGAATGGGGCGGGGTGATGGAAGGAGGGAGAATGGGGCGGGGTGATGGAAGGAGGGAGAATGGGGCGGGGTGATGGAAAGCGGGAGAATGGGGCGGGGTGATGGAAAACGGGAGAATGGGGCGGGGTGATGGAAGGAGGGAGAATGGTGCGGGGTGATGGAAGGAGGGAGAATGGGGCGGGGTGATGGAAGGAGGGAGAATGGGGCGGGGTGATGGAAAGCGGGAGAATGGGGCGGGGTGATAGAAAGCGGGACTATGGGGCGGGGTGATGGAAAGCGGGAGAATGTGGCGGGGTGATGGAAAGCGGGAGAATGGGGCGGGGTGATGGAAAGCGGGAGAATGGGGCGGGGTGATGGAAAGCGGGAGAATGGGGCGGGGTGATGGAAGGAGGGAGTTTGGGGCGGGGTGATGGACGGAGGGACAATGGTGGCGGGTGATGGAAAGCGGGAGAATGGGGCGGGGTGATGGAAGGAGGGAGAATGGGGCGGGGTGATAGAAGGAGGGAGAATGGGGCGGGTTGATGGAAGGAGGGAGAATGGGGCGGGGTGATGGAAAGCGGGAAAATGGGGCTGGGTGATGGAAAGCGGGAGAATGGGGCGGGGTGATGGAAGGAGGGAGAATGGGGCGGCGTGATGGAAGGAGGGAGAATGGGGCGGGGTGATGGAAAGCGGGAGAATGGGGCGGGGTGATGGAAAGCGGGAGAATGGGGCGGGGTGATGGAAGGAGGGAGAATGGGGCGGGGTGATGGAAGGAGGGAGAATGGGGCGGGGTGATGGAAGGAGGGAGAATGGGGCGGGGTGATGGAAAGCGGGAGAATGGGGCGGGGTGATGGAAAGCGGGAGAATGGGGCGGGGTGATGGAAAGCGGGTGAATGGAGCGGGGTGATGGAAAGCGGGAGAATGGGGCGGGGTGATGGAAAGCGGGAGAATGGGGCGGGGTGATGGAAAGCGAGAGAATGGGGCAGGGTGATGGAAAGCGGGAGAATGGGGAGGGGTGATGGAAGGAGGGAGAATGGGGCAGGGTGATGGAAAGCGGGAGAATGGGGCGGGATGATAGAAAGCGGGACAATGGGGCGGGGTGATGGAAAGCGGGAGAATGTGGCGGGGTGATGGAAAGCAAGAGAATGGGGCGGGGTGATGGAAAGCGGGAGAATGGGGCGGGGTGATGGAAAGCGGGAGAATGGGGTGGGGTGATGGAAGGAGGGAGAATGGGGCGGGGTGATGGACGGAGGGACAATGGGGCGGGGTGATGGAAAGCGGGAGAATGGGGCGGGGTGATGGAAGGAGGGAGAATGGGGCGGGGTGATGGACGGAGGGACAATGGGGCGGGGTGATGGAAAGCGGGAGAATGGGGCGGGGTGATGGAAGGAGAGATAATGGGGCGGGGTGATGGAAGGAGGGAGAATGGGGCGGGTTGATAGAATGAGAGAGAATGGGGCGGGGTGATGGAAAGCGGGAGAATGAGGTGGGGTGATGGAAAGCGGGAGAATGGGGCGGGGTGATGGAAATCGGGAGAATGGGGCTGGGTGATGGAAGGAGGGAGACTGGGGCGGGGTGATGGAAAGCGGGAGAATGGGGCGGGGTGATGGAAAGCGGGAGAATGGGGCGGGGTGATGGAAAGCGGGAGAATGGGGCGGGGTGATGGAAAGCGGGAGAATGGGGCGGGGTGATGGAAAGCGGGAGAATGGGGCGGGGTGATGGAAAGCGGGAGAATGGGGCGGGGTGATGGAAAGCAGGAGAATGGGGCGGGGTGATGGAAAGCGGGAGAATGGGGCGGGGTGATGGAAGGAGGGAGAATGGGGCGGGGTGATGGAAGGAGGGAGAATGGGGCGGGGTGATGGAAAGCGGGAGAATGGGGCGGGGTGATGGAAAGCGGGAGAATTTGGCGGGGTGATGGAAAGCGGGTGAATGGAGCGGGGTGATGGAAGGAGGGAGAATGGGGCGGGGTGATGGAAAGCGGGAGAATGGGGCGGGGTGATGGAAAGCGGGAGAATGGGGCGGGGTGATGGAAAGCGGGTGAATGGAGCGGGGTGATTGAAAGCGGCAGAATGGGGCGGGGTGATGGAAAGCGGGAGAATGGGGCGGGGTGATGGAAAGCGGGAGAATGGGGCGGAGTGATGGAAGGAGGGAGAATGGGGCGGGGTGATGGAAGGAGGGAGAATGGGGCGGGGTGATGGAAAGCGGGAGAATGGGGCGGGGTGATGGAAAGCGGGAGAATGGGGCGGGGTGATGGAAGGAGGGAGAATGGGGCGGGGTGATGGAAGGAGGGAGAATGGGGCGGGTTGATGGAAGGAGGGAGAATGAGGCGGGGTGATGGAAAGCGGGAAAATGGGCCGGGGTGATGGAAAGCGGGAGAATGGGGCGGGGTGATGGAAGGAGGGAGAATGGGGCGGGGTGATGGAAGGAGGGAGAATGGGGCGGGGTGATGGAAAGCGGGAGAATGGGGTGGGGTGATGGAAAGCGGGAGAATGGGGCGGGGTGATGGAAGGAGGGAGAATGGGGCGTGGTGATGGAAGAAGGGAGACTGGGGCGGGGTGATGGAAAGCGGGAGAATGGGGCGGGGTGATGGAAAGCGGGAGAATGGGGCGGGGTGATGGAAAGCGGGAGAATGGGGCGGGGTGATGGAAAGCGGGAGAATGGGGCGGGGTGATGGAAAGCGGGAGAATGGGGCGGGGTGATGGAAGGAGGGAGAATGGGGCGGGGTGATGGAAGGAGGGAGAATGGGGCGGGGTGATGGAAAGCGGGAGAATGGCGGGGTGATGGAAAGCGAGAGAATGGGGCGGGGTGATGGAAAGCGGGAGAATGGGGCGGGGTGATGGAAAGTGAGAGAATGAGGCGGGGTGATGGAAAGCGGGAGAATGGGGCGGGGTGATGGAAAGCGAGAGAATGGGGCTGGGTGATGGAAAGCGGGAGAATGGGGCGGGGTGATGGAAAGCGGGAGAATTTGGCGGGGTGATGGAAAGCGGGTGAATGGAGCGGGGTGATGGAAGGAGGGAGAATGGGGCGGGGTGATGGAAAGCGGGAGAATGGGGCGGGGTGATGGAAAGCGGGAGAATGGGGCGGGGTGATGGAAAGCGGGTGAATGGAGCGGGGTGATTGAAAGCGGCAGAATGGGGCGGGGTGATGGAAAGCGGGAGAATGGGGCGGGGTGATGGAAAGCGGGAGAATGGGGCGGGGTGATGGAAAGCAGGAGAACGGGGCGGAGTGATGGAAGGAGGGAGAATGGGGCGGGGTGATGGAAGGAGGGAGAATGGGGCGGGGTGATGGAAAGCGGGAGAATGGGGCGGGGTGATGGAAAGCGGGAGAATGGGGCGGGGTGATGGAAGGAGGGAGAATAAGGCGGGGTGATAGAAAGCGGGACAATGGGGCGGGGTGATGGAAAGCGGGAGAATGGGGCGGGGTGATGGAAAGCGGGAGAATGGGGCGGGGTGATGGAAAGCGGGAGAATGGGGCGGGGTGATGGAAGGAGGGAGAATGGGGCGGGGTGATGGAAGAAGGGAGACTGGGGCGGGGTGATGGAAAGCGGGAGAATGGGGCGGGGTGATGGAAAGCGAGAGAATGGGGCAAGGTGATGGAAGGAGGGAGAATGGGGGGGGGGTGATGGAAGGAGGGAGAATGGGGCGGGGTGATGGAAGGAGGGAGAATGGGGCGGGGTGATGGAAAGCGGGAGAATGGGGCGGGGTGATGGAAAGCGGGAGAATGGGGCGGGGTGATGGAAAGAGGGAGAATGGGGCGGGGTGATGGAAAGCGGGAGAATGGGGCGGGGTGATGGAAAGCGGGAGAATGGGGCGGGGTGATGGAAGGAGGGAGAATGGGGCGGGGTGATGGAAGGAGGGAGAATGGGGCGGGGTGATGGAAGAAGGGAGACTGGGGCGGGGTGATGGAAAGCGGGAGAATGGGGCGGGGTGATGGAAAGCGGGAGAATGAGGCGGGGTGATAGAAAGCGGAAGAATGGGGCGGGGTGATGGAAAGCGGGAGAATGGGGCGGGGTGATGGAAAGCGGGAGAATGGGGCGGGGTGATGGAAAGCGGGAGAATGGGGCGGGGTGATGGAAGGAGGGAGAATGGGGCGGGGTGATGGAAGGAGGGAGAATGGGGCGGGGTGATGGAAAGCGGGAGAATGGGGCGGGGTGATGGAAAGCGGGAGAATTTGGCGGGGTGATGGAAAGCGGGTGAATGGAGCGGGGTGATGGAAGGAGGGAGAATGGGGCGGGGTGATGGAAAGCGGGAGAATGGGGCGGGGTGATGGAAAGCGGGAGAATGGGGCGGGGTGATGGAAAGCGGGTGAATGGAGCGGGGTGATTGAAAGCGGCAGAATGGGGCGGGGTGATGGAAAGCGGGAGAATGGGGCGGGGTGATGGAAAGCGGGAGAATGGGGCGGGGTGATGGAAAGCAGGAGAACGGGGCGGAGTGATGGAAGGAGGGAGAATGGGGCGGGGTGATGGAAGGAGGGAGAATGGGGCGGGGTGATGGAAAGCGGGAGAATGGGGCGGGGTGATGGAAAGCGGGAGAATGGGGCGGGGTGATGGAAGGAGGGAGAATAAGGCGGGGTGATAGAAAGCGGGACAATGGGGCGGGGTGATGGAAAGCGGGAGAATGGGGCGGGGTGATGGAAAGCGGGAGAATGGGGCGGGGTGATGGAAAGCGGGAGAATGGGGCGGGGTGATGGAAGGAGGGAGAATGGGGCGGGGTGATGGAAGAAGGGAGACTGGGGCGGGGTGATGGAAAGCGGGAGAATGGGGCGGGGTGATGGAAAGCGGGAGAATGAGGCGGGGTGATAGAAAGCGGAAGAATGGGGCGGGGTGATGGAAAGCGGGAGAATGGGGCGGGGTGATGGAAAGCGGGAGAATGGGGCGGGGTGATGGAAAGCGGGAGAATGGGGCGGGGTGATGGAAGGAGGGAGAATGGGGCGGGGTGATGGAAGGAGGGAGAATGGGGCGGGGTGATGGAAAGCGGGAGAATGGGGCGGGGTGATGGAAAGCGGGAGAATTTGGCGGGGTGATGGAAAGCGGGTGAATGGAGCGGGGTGATGGAAGGAGGGAGAATGGGGCGGGGTGATGGAAAGCGGGAGAATGGGGCGGGGTGATGGAAAGCGGGAGAATGGGGCGGGGTGATGGAAAGCGGGTGAATGGAGCGGGGTGATTGAAAGCGGCAGAATGGGGCGGGGTGATGGAAAGCGGGAGAATGGGGCGGGGTGATGGAAAGCGGGAGAATGGGGCGGTGTGATGGAAAGCGGGAGAATGGGGCGGGGTGATGGAAAGTGGGAGAATGGGGCGGGATGATGGAAGGAGGGAGAATGGGGCGGGGTGATGGAAGGAGGGAGAATGGGGCGGGGTGATGGAAAGCGGGAGAATGGGGCGGGGTGATGGAAAGCGGGAGAATGGGGCGGGGTGATGGAAAGCGGGAGAATGGGGCGGGGTGATGGAAAGCGGGAGAATGGGGCGGGGTGATGGAAGAAGGGAGACTGGGGCGGGGTGATGGAAAGCGGGAGAATGGGGCGGGGTGATGGAAAGCGGGAGAATGAGGCGGGGTGATAGAAAGCGGAAGAATGGGGCGGGGTGATGGAAAGCTTGAGAATGGGGCGGGGTGATGGAAAGCGGGAGAATGGGGCGGGGTGATGGAAAGCGGGAGAATGGGGCGGGGTGATGGAAGGAGGGAGAATGGGGCGGGGTGATGGAAGGAGGGAGAATGGGGCGGGGTGATGGAAAGCGGGAGAATGGGGCGGGGTGATGGAAAGCGGGAGAATTTGGCGGGGTGATGGAAAGCGGGTGAATGGAGCGGGGTGATGGAAGGAGGGAGAATGGGGCGGGGTGATGGAAAGCGGGAGAATGGGGCGGGGTGATGGAAAGCGGGAGAATGGGGCGGGGTGATGGAAAGCGGGTGAATGGAGCGGGGTGATTGAAAGCGGCAGAATGGGGCGGGGTGATGGAAAGCGGGAGAATGGGGCGGGGTGATGGAAAGCAGGAGAACGGGGCGGAGTGATGGAAGGAGGGAGAATGGGGCGGGGTGATGGAAGGAGGGAGAATGGGGCGGGGTGATGGAAAGCGGGAGAATGGGGCGGGGTGATGGAAAGCGGGAGAATGGGGCGGGGTGATGGAAGGAGGGAGAATGAGGCGGGGTGATGGAAGGAGGGAGACTGGGGCGGGGTGATGGAAAGCGGGAGAATGGGGCAGGGTGATGGAAAGCGGGAGAATGGGGCGGGGTGATGGAAAGCGGGAGAATGGGGCGGGGTGATGGAAGGAGGGAGAATGGGGCGCGGTGATGGAAGGAGGGAGAATGGGGCGGGGTGATGGAAGGCGGGAGAATGGGGCGGGGTGATGGAAAGCGGGAGAATGGGGCGGGGTGATGGAAAGCGGGAGAATGGGGCGGGGTGATGGAAAGCGGGTGAATGGAGCGGGGTGATGGAAAGCGGGAGAATGGGGCGGGGTGATGGAAAGTGGGAGAATGGGGTGGGGTGATGGAAAGCGAGAGAATGGGGCAGGGTGATGGAAAGCGGGAGAATGGGGCGGGGTGATGGAAGGAGGGAGAATGGGGCGGGGTGATGGACGGAGGGACAATGGGGCGGGGTGATGGAAAGCGGGAGAATGGGGCGGGGTGATGGAAGGAGGGAGAATGGGGCGGGGTGATGGAAGGAGGGAGAATGGGGCGGGTTGATGGAAGGAGGGAGAATGGGGCGGGGTGATGGAAAGCGGGAAAATGGGGCGGGGTGATGGAAAGCGGGAGAATGGGGCGGGGTGATGGAAGGAGGGAGAATGGGGCGGGGTGATGGAAGGAGAGAGAATGGGGCGGGGTGATGGAAAGCGGGAGAATGGGGCGGGGTGATGGAAAGCGGGAGAATGGGGCGGGGTGATGGAAGGAGGGAGAATGGGGCGGGGTGATGAAAGAAGGGAGACTGGGGCGGGGTGATGGAAAGCGGGAGAATGGGGCGGGGTGATGGAAAGCGGGAGAATGGGGCGGGGTGATGGAAAGCGGGAGAATGGGGCGGTGTGATGGAAAGCGGGAGAATGGGGCGGTGTGATGGAAAGCGGGAGAATGGGGCGGGGTGATGGAAGGAGGGAGAATGGGGCGGGGTGATGGAAGGAGGGAGAATGGGGCGGGGTGATGGAAAGCGGGAGAATGGGGCGGGGTGATGGAAAGCGGGAGAATGGGGCGGGGTGATGGAAAGCGGGAGAATGGGGCGGGGTGATGGAAAGCGGGAGAATGGGGCGGGGTGATGGAAAGCGGGAGAATGGGGCGGGGTGATGGAAAGCGGGAGAATGGGGCGGGGTGATGGAAAGCGGGAGAATGGGGCGGGGTGATGGAAAGCGGGAGAATGGGGCGGTGTGATGGAAGGAGGGAGAATGGGGCGGGGTGATGGAAGGAGGGAGAATGGGGCGGGGTGATGGAAGGAGGGAGAATGGGGCGGGGTGATGGAAAGCGGGAGAATGGGGCGGGGTGATGGAAAGCGGGAGAATGGGGCGGGGTGATGGAAGGAGGGAGAATGGGGCGGGGTGATGGAAGGAGGGAGAATGGGGCGGGGTGATGGAAGGAGGGAGAATGGGGCGGGGTGATGGAAAGCGGGAGAATGGGGCGGGGTGATAGAAAGCGGGACAATGGGGCGGGGTGATGGAAAGCGGGAGAATGTGGCGGGGTGATGGAAAGCGGGAGAATGGGGCGGGGTGATGGAAAGCGGGAGAATGGGGCGGGGTGATGGAAAGCGGGAGAATGGGGCGGGGTGATGGAAGGAGGGAGTTTGGGGCGGGGTGATGGACGGAGGGACAATGGGGCGGGTGATGGAAAGCGGGAGAATGGGGCGGGGTGATGGAAGGAGGGAGAATGGGGCGGGGTGATAGAAGGAGGGAGAATGGGGCGGGTTGATGGAAGGAGGGAGAATGGGGCGGGGTGATGGAAAGCGGGAAAATGGGGCTGGGTGATGGAAAGCGGGAGAATGGGGCGGGGTGATGGAAGGAGGGAGAATGGGGCGGGGTGATGGAAGGAGGGAGAATGGGGCGGGGTGATGGAAAGCGGGAGAATGGGGCGGGGTGATGGAAAGCGGGAGAATGGGGCGGGGTGATGGAAGGAGGGAGAATGGGGCGGGGTGATGGAAGGAGGGAGAATGGGGCGGGGTGATGGAAGGAGGGAGAATGGGGCGGGGTGATGGAAAGCGGGAGAATGGGGCGGGGTGATGGAAAGCGGGAGAATGGGGCGGGGTGATGGAAAGCGGGTGAATGGAGCGGGGTGATGGAAAGCGGGAGAATGGGGCGGGGTGATGGAAAGCGGGAGAATGGGGCGGGGTGATGGAAAGCGAGAGAACGGGGCAGGGTGATGGAAAGCGGGAGAATGGGGAGGGGTGATGGAAGGAGGGAGAATGGGGCGGGGTGATGGAAAGCGGGAGAATGGGGCGGGATGATAGAAAGCGGGACAATGGGGCGGGGTGATGGAAAGCGGGAGAATGTGGCGGGGTGATGGAAAGCGGGAGAATGGGGCGGGGTGATGGAAAGCGGGAGAATGGGGCGGGGTGATGGAAAGCGGGAGAATGGGGCGGGGTGATGGAAGGAGGGAGAATGGGGCGGGGTGATGGACGGAGGGACAATGGGGCGGGGTGATGGAAAGCGGGAGAATGGGGCGGGGTGATGGAAGGAGGGAGAATGGGGCGGGGTGATGGACGGAGGGACAATGGGGCGGGGTGATGGAAAGCGGGAGAATGGGGCGGGGTGATGGAAGGAGAGAGAATGGGGCGGGGTGATGGAAGGAGGGAGAATGGGGCGGGTTGATAGAATGAGAGAGAATGGGGCGGGGTGATGGAAAGCGGGAGAATGAGGCGGGGTGATGGAAATCGGGAGAATGGGGCGGGGTGATGGAAGGAGGGAGAATGGGGCGGGGTGATGGAAGGAGGGAGACTGGGGCGGGGTGATGGAAAGCGGGAGAATGGGGCGGGGTGATGGAAAGCGGGAGAATGGGGCGGGGTGATGGAAAGCGGGAGAATGGGGCGGGGTGATGGAAAGCGGGAGAATGGGGCGGGGTGATGGAAAGCGGGAGAATGGGGCGGTGTGATGGAAAGCAGGAGAATGGGGCGGGGTGATGGAAAGCGGGAGAATGGGGCGGGGTGATGGAAGGAGGGAGAATGGGGCGGGGTGATGGAAGGAGGGAGAATGGGGCGGGGTGATGGAAAGCGGGAGAATGGGGCGGGGTGATGGAAAGCGGGAGAATTTGGCGGGGTGATGGAAAGCGGGTGAATGGAGCGGGGTGATGGAAGGAGGGAGAATGGGGCGGGGTGATGGAAAGCGGGAGAATGGGGCGGGGTGATGGAAAGCGGGAGAATGGGGCGGGGTGATGGAAAGCGGGTGAATGGAGCGGGGTGATTGAAAGCGGCAGAATGGGGCGGGGTGATGGAAAGCGGGAGAATGGGGCGGGGTGATGGAAAGCGGGAGAATGGGCGGAGTGATGGAAGGAGGGAGAATGGGGCGGGGTGATGGAAGGAGGGAGAATGGGGCGGGGTGATGGAAAGCGGGAGAATGGGGCGGGGTGATGGAAAGCGGGAGAATGGGGCGGGGTGATGGAAGGAGGGAGAATGGGGCGGGGTGATGGAAGGAGGGAGAATGGGGCGGGGTGATGGAAAGCGGGAGAATGGGGCAGGGTGATGGAAAGCGGGAGAATGGGGCGGGGTGATGGAAAGCGGGAGAATGGGGCGGGGTGATGGAAAGCGGGAGAATGGGGCGGGGTGATGGAAAGCGGGAGAATGGGGCGGGGTGATGGAAAGCGGGAGAATGGGGCGGGGTGATGGAAGGAGGGAGAATGGGGCGGGGTGATGGAAGGCGGGAGAATGGGGCGGGGTGATGGAAAGCGGGAGAATGGGGCGGGGTGATGGAAAGCGGGAGAAAGGGGCGGGGTGATGGAAAGCGGGAGAATGGGGCGGGGTGATGGAAAGCGGGAGAATGGGGCGGGATGATGGAAAGAGGGAGAATGGGGCGGGGTGATGGAAGGAGGGAGAATGGGGCGGGGTGATGGAAAGCAGGAGAATGGGGCGGGGTGATGGAAAGCGGGAGAATGGGGCGGGGTGATGGAAAGCGGGAGAATGGGGCGGGGTGATGGAAAGCGGGAGAATGGGGCGAGGATGGTAAAGCGGGAGAATGGGGCGGGGTGATGGAAAGCGGGAGAATGGGGCGGGGTGATGGAAAGCGGGAGAATGGGGCGGGGTGATGGAAGGAGGGAGAATGGGGCGGGGTGATGGAAGGAGGGAGAATGGGGCAGGGTGATGGAAGGAGGGAGAATGGCGCGGGGTGATGGAAAGCGGGAGAATGGGGCAGGGTGATGGAAAGCGGGAGAATGGGGCGGGGTGATGGAAAGCGGGAGAATGGGGCGGGGTGATGGAAAGCGAGAGAATGGGGCAGGGTGATGGAAAGCGGGAGAATAGGGCGGGGTGATGGAAAGCGGGAGAATGGGGCGGGGTGATGGAAAGCGGGAGAATGGGGCGGGGTGATAAAAAGCGGGACAATGGGGCGGGGTGATGGAAAGTGGGAGAATGGGGCGGGGTGATGGAAGGAGAGAGAATGGGGCGGGGTGATGGAAGGAGGGAGAATGGGGCGGGGTGATGGAAAGCGGGAGAATGGGGCGGGGTGATGGAAAGCGGGAGAATGGGGCGGGGTGATGGAAAGCGGGAGAATGGGGCGGGGTGATGGAAAGCGGGAGAATGGGGCGGGGTGATGGAAGGAGGGAGAATGGGGCGGGGTGATAGAAGGAGGGAGAATGGGGCGGGGTGATGGAAGGAGGGAGAATGGGGCGGGGTGATGGAAAGCGGGAGAATGGGGCGGGATGATGGAAAGTAGGAGAATGGGGCGGGGTGATGGAAAGCGAGAGAATGGGGCAGGGTGATGGAAAGCGGGAGAATGGGGCGAGGTGATGGAAGGAGGGAGAATGGGGCGGGGTGATGGACGGAGGGACAATGGGGCGGGGTGATGGAAAGCGGGAGAATGGGGCGGGGTGATGGAAGGAGGGAGAATGGGGCGGGGTGATGGAAGGAGGGAGAATGGGGCGGGTTGATGGAAGGAGGGAGAATGGGGCGGGGTGATGGAAAGCGGGAAAATGGGGCGGGGTGATGGAAAGCGGGAGAATGGGGCGGGGTGATGGAAGGAGGGAGAATGGGGCGGGGTGATGGAAGGAGAGAGAATGGGGCGGGGTGATGGAAAGCGGGAGAATGGGGCGGGGTGATGGAAAGCGGGAGAATAGGGCGGGGTGATGGAAGGAGGGAGAATGGGGCGGGGTGATGGAAGAAGGGAGACTGGGGCGGGGTGATGGAAAGCGGGAGAATGGGGCGGGGTGATGGAAAGCGGGAGAATGGGGCGGGGTGATGAAAAGCGGGAGAATGGGGCGGGGTGATGGAAAGCGGGAGAATGGGGCGGGGTGATGGAAAGTGGGAGATTAGAGCGGGATGATGGAAGGAGGGAGAATGGGGCGGGGTGATGGAAGGAGGGAGAATGGGGCGGGGTGATGGAAAGCGGGAGAATGGGGCGGGGTGATGGAAAGCGGGAGAATGGGGCGGGGTGATGGAAAGCGGGAGAATGGGGCGGGGTGATGGAAAGCGGGAGAATGGGGCGGGGTGATGGAAAGCGGGAGAATGGGGCGGGGTGATGGAAAGCAGGAGAATGGGGCGGGGTGATGGAAGGAGGGAGAATGGGGCGGGGTGATGGAAAGTGGGAGAATGGGGCGGGGTGATGGAAAGCGGGAGAATGGGGCGGGGTGAGGGAAAGCGAGAGAATGGGGCGGGATGACGGAAAGCGGGAGAATGGGGCGGGGTGATGGAAAGCGGGAGAATGGGGCGGGGTGATGGAAAGCGGGAGAATGGGGCGGGGTGATGGAAAGCGGGAGAATGGGGCGGGGTGATGGAGAGCGGGAGAATGGGGCGGGGTGATGGAAAGCGGGAGAATGTGGCGGGGTGATGGAAAGCGGGAGAATAGGGCGGGGTGATGGAAAGCGGGAGAATGGGGCGGGGTGATGGAAGGAGGGAGAATGGGGCGGGGTGATGGAAAGCGAGAGAATGGGGCGGGGTGATGGAAAGCGGGAGAATGGGGCAAGTTGATGGAAAGCGGGAGAATGGGACGGGGTGATGGAAAGCGAGAGAATGGGGCGGGGTGATGTAAAGCGGGAGAATGGGGCGGGGTGATGGAAGGAGGGAGAATGGGACGGGGTGATGGAAGGAGAGAGAATGGGGCGGGGTGATGGAAAGCGGGAGAATGGGGCGGGGTGATGGAAAGCGGGAGAATGGGGCGGGGTGATGGAAAGCGGGAGAATGGGGCGGGGTGATGGAAAGCGGGAGATTGGGGCGGGGTGATGGAAAGCGGGAGAATGGGGCGGGGTGATGGAAAGCGGGAGAATGGGGCGGGGTGATGGAGAGCGGGAGAATGGGGCGGGGTGATGGAGAGCGGGAGAATGGGGCGGGGTGATGGAAAGCGGGAGAATGGGGCGGGGTGATGGAAAGCGGGAGAATGGGGCGGGGTGATGGAAAGCGGGAGAATGGGGCGGGGTGATGGAAAGCGGGAGAATGGGGCGGGGTGATGGAAGGAGGGAGAATGGGGCGGGGTGATGGAAAGAGGGAGAATGGGGCGGGGTGATGGAAAGCGGGAGAATGGGGCGGGGTGATGGAAAGCGGGAGAATTTGGCGGGGTGATGGAAAGCGGGTGAATGGAGCGGGGTGATGGAAGGAGGGAGAATGGGGCGGGGTGATGGAAAGCGGGAGAATGGGGCGGGGTGATGGAAAGCGGGAGAATGGGGTGGGGTGATGGAAATCGGGTGAATGGAGCGGGGTGATTGAAAGCGGCAGAATGGGGCGGGGTGATGGAAAGCGGGAGAATGGGGCGGGGTGATGGAAAGCGGGAGAATGGGGCGGAGTGATGGAAGGAGGGAGAATGGGGCGGGGTGATGGAAGGAGGGAGAATGGGGCGGGGTGATGGAAAGCGGGAGAATGGGGCGGGGTGATGGAAAGCGGGAGAATGGGGTGGGATGATGGAAAGCGGGAGAATGGGGCGGGGTGATGGAAGGAGGGAGAATGGGGAGGGGTGATGGAAGGCGGGAGAATGGGGCGGGGTGATGGAAAGCGGGAGAATGGGGCGGGGTGATGGAAAGCGGGAGAATGGGGCAGGGTGATGGAAAGAGGGAGAATGGGGCGGGGTGATGGAAAGCGGGAGAATGGGGCGGGGTGATGGAAAGCGGGAGAATGGGGCGGGGTGATGGAAAGCGGGAGAATGGGGCGGGGTGATGGAAAGCAGGAGAATGGGGCGGGGTGATGGAAGGAGGGAGAATGGGGCGGGGTGATGGAAGGAGAGAGAATGGGGCGGGGTGATGGAAAGTGGGAGAATGGGGCGGGGTGATGGAAAGCGGGAGAATGGGGCGGGGTGATGGAAAGCGGGAGAATGGGACGGGGTGATGGAAAGCGGGAGAATGGGGCGGGGTGATGTAAAGCGGGAGAATGGAGCGGGGTGATGGAAGGAGGGAGAATGGGACGGGGTGATGGAAGGAGAGAGAATGGGGCGGGGTGATGGAAAGCGGGAGAATGGGGCGGGGTGATGGAAAGCGGGAGAATGGGGCGGGGTGATGGAAAGCGGGAGAATGGGGCGGGGTGATGGAAAGCGGGAGAATGGGGCGGGGTGATGGAAAGCGGGAGAATGGGGCGGGGTGATGGAAAGCGGGAGAATGGGGCGGGGTGATGGAAAGCGGGAGAATGGGGCGGGGTGATGGAAAGCGGGAGAATGGGGCGCGGTGATGGAAAGCGGGAGAATGGGGCGGGGTGATGGAAAGAGGGAGAATGGGGCGGGGTGATGGAAAGCGGGAGAATGGGGCGGGGTGATGGAAAGCGGGAGAATGGGGCGGGGTGATGGAAAGCGGGAGAATGGGGCGTGGTGATGGAAAGAGGGAGAATGGGGCGGGGTGATGGAAGGAGGGAGAATGGGGCGGGGTGATGGAAAGCGGGAGAATGGGGCGGGGTGATGGAAAGCGGGAGAATGGGGCGGGATGATGGAAAGCGGGAGAATGGGCGGGGTGATGGAAAGCGGGAGAATGGGGCGGGGTGATGGAAAGCGGGAGAATGGGGCGGGTTGATGGAAAGCGGGAGAATGGGGCGGGGTGATGGAAAGCGGGAGAATGGGGCGGGGTGATGGAAAGCGGGAGAATGGGGCGGGGTGATGGAAGGAGGGAGAATGGGGCGGGGTGATGGAAAGCGAGAGAATGGGGCAGGGTGATTGAAAGCGGGAGAATGGGGCGGGGTGATGGAAATCGGGAGAATGGGGCGGGGTGATGGAAAGCGGGAGAATGAGACCGGGTGATGGAAAGCGGGAGAATGGGGCGGGGTGATTGAAAGCGGGAGAATGGGGCGGGGTGATGGAAGGAGGGAGAATGGGACGGGGTGATGGAAGGAGAGAGAATGGGCGGGGTGATGGAAAGCGGGAGAATGGGGCGGGGTGATGGAAAGCGGGGGAATGGGGCGGGGTGATGGAAAGCGGGAGAATGGGGCGGGGTGATGGAAAGCGGGAGAATGGGGCGGGGTGATGGAAAGCGGGAGAATGGGGCGGGGTGATGGAAAGCGGGAGAATGGGGCGGGGTGATGGAAAGCGGGAGAATGGGGCGGGGTGATGAAAGCGGGAGAATGGGGCGGGGTGATGGAAAGCGGGAGAATGGGGCGGGGTGATGGAAAGCGGGAGAATGGGGCGGGGTGATGGAAAGCGGGAGAATGGGGCGGGGTGATGGAAAGCGGGAGAATGGGGCGGGGTGATGGAAAGCGGGAGAATGGGGCGGGGTGATGGAAGGAGGGAGAATGGGGCGGGGGTGATGGAAAGCGGGAGAATGGGGCGGGGGTGATGGAAAGCGGGAGAATGGGGCGGGGTGATGGAAAGCGGTGAATGGAGCGGGGTGATTGAAAGCGGCAGAATGGGGCGGGGTGATGGAAAGCGGGAGAATGGGGCTGGGTGATGGAAAGCGGGAGAATGGGGCGGAGTGATGGAAGGAGGGAGAATGGGGCGGGGTGATGGAAGGAGGGAGAATGGGGCGGGGTGATGGAAAGCGGGAGAATGGGGCGGGGTGATGGAAAGCGGGAGAATGGGGCGGGGTGATGGAAAGCGGGAGAATGGGGCGGGGTGATGGAAGGAGGGAGAATGGGGCGGGGTGATGGAAAGCGGGAGAATGGGGCGGGGTGATGGAAAGCGGGAGAATGGGGCGGGGTGATGGAAAGCGGGAGAATGGGGCGGGGTGATGGAAAGGGGGAGAATGGGGCGGGGTGATGGAAAGCGGGAGAATGGGGCGGGGTGATGGAAAGCGGGAGAATGGGGCGGGGTGATGGAAAGCGGGAGAATGGGGCGGGGTGATGGAAAGCGGGAGAATGGGGCGGGGTGATGGAAAGCAGGAGAATGGGGCGGGGTGATGGAAGGAGGGAGAATGGGGCGGGGTGATGGAAGGAGAGAGAATGGGGCGGGGTGATGGAAAGCGGGAGAATGGGGCGGGGTGATGGAAAGCGGGAGAATGGGGCGGGGTGATGGAAAGCGAGAGAATGGGGCGGGATGACGGAAAGCGGGAGAATGGGGCGGGGTGATGGAAAGCGAGAGAATGGGGCGGGATGACGGAAAGCGGGAGAATGGGGCGGGGTGATGGAAAGCGGGAGAATGGGGCGGGGTGATGGAGAGCGGGAGAATGGGGCGGGGTGATGGAAAGCGGGAGAATGTGGCGGGGTGATGGAAAGCGGGAGAATGGGGCGGGGTGATGGAAAGCGGGAGAATGGGGCGGGGTGATGGAAGGAGGGAGAATGGGGCGGGGTGATGGAAAGCGAGAGAATGGGGCGGGGTAATGGAAAGCGGGAGAATGGGGCGGGGTGATGGAAAGCGGGAGAATGGGACGGGGTGATGGAAAGCGGGAGAATGGGGCGGGGTGATGGAAAGCGGGAGAATGGGGCGGGGTGATGGAAGGAGGGAGAATGGGACGGGGTGATGGAAGGAGGAGAGAATGGGGCGGGGTGATGGAAAGCGGGAGAATGGGGCGGGGTGATGGAAAGCGGGAGAATTGGGGCGGGGTGATGGAAAGGAGGGAGAATGGGGCGGGGTGATGGAAGAGGGAGAATGGGGCGGGGTGATGGAAAGCGGGAGAATGGGGCGGGGTGATGGAAAGCGGGAGAATGGGGCGGGGTGATGGAAAGCGGAGAGAATGGGGCGGGGTGAATGGAAAGCGGGAGAATGGGGCGGGGTGATGGAAAGCAGGGAGAATGGGGCGGGGTGATGGAAGGCGGGAGAATGGGGCGGGGTGATGGAAAGCGGGAGAATGGGGCGGGGTGATGGAAAGGAGGGAGAATGGGGCGGGGTGATGGAAAGGCGGGAGAATGGGGCGGGGTGATGGAAGAGGGGAGAATGGGGCGGGGTGATGGAAAGCGGGAGAATGGGGCGGGGTGATGGAAAGCGGGAGAATGGGGCGGGGTGATGGAAAGCGGAGAATGGGGCGGGGTGATGACGGAAAGCGGGAGAATGGGGCGGGGTGATGGAAAGCGGGAGAATGGGGCGGGTGATGGAAAGCGGGAGAATGGGGCGGGGTGATGGAAAGCGGGAGAATGGGGCGGGGTGATGGAAAGCGGGAGAATGGGGGCGGGGTGATGGAAAGCGGGAGAATGGGGCGGGGTGATGGAAAGCGGGAGAATGGGGCGGGGTGATGGAAAGCGGGAGAATGGGGCGGGTGATGGAAAGCGGGAGAATGGGGCGGGGGGTGATTGGAAAGCAGGAGAATGGGGCGGGGTGATGGAAAGCGGGAGAATGGGGCGGGGTGATGGAAAGCGGGAGAATGGGGCGGGGTGATGGAAAGCGGGAGAATGGGGCGGGGTGATGGAAAGCGGGAGAATGGGGCGGGGTGATGGAAAGCGGGAGAATGGGGCGGGTAGTGAATGGAAAGCGGGAGAATGGTGGCGGGGTGATGGAAAGCGGGAGAATGGGGCGGGGTGATGGAAAGCGGGAGAATGGGGCGGGGTGATGGAAAGCGGGAGAATGGGGCGGGGTGATGGAAAGGAGGGAGAATGGGGCGGGTGATGGAAAGAGGGAGAATGGGGCGGGGTGATGGAAAGGAGGGAGAATGGGGCGGGGTGATGGAAGAGCGGGAGAATGGGGCGGGGGATGGATCGGGAGAATGGGGCGGGGATGATGGAAAGCGGGAGAATGGGGGCGGGTGATGGAAAGCGGGAGAATGGGGCGGGGGTGATGGAAAGCGGGAGAATGGGGCGGAGTGATGGAAGGAGGGAGAATGGGGCGGGGTGATGGAAGGAGAGAGAATGGGGCGGGGTGATGGAAAGTGGGAGAATGGGGCGGGGTGATGGAAAGCGGGGAGAATGGGGCGGGGTGATGAAAGCGGGAGAATGGGGCGGGGATGACGGAAAGCGGAGAATGGGGCGGGGTGATGGAAAGCGGGAGAATGGGGCGGGGTGATGGAAAGCGGGAGAATGGGGCGGGGTGATGGAAAGCGGGAGAATGGGGCGGGGTGATGGAAAGCGGGAGAATGGGGCGGGGTGATGAAGAGGAGAATGGGGCGGGGTGATGGAATGCGGTGATGGAAAGCGAGAGAATGGGCGGGGTGATTGAAAGCGGGAGAATGGGGCGGGGTGATGGAAATCGGGAGAATGGGGCAGGGTGATGGAAAGCGGGAGAATGAGACGGGGTGATGGAAAGCGGGAGAATGGGGCGGGGTGATGGAAAGCGGGAGAATGGGGCGGGGTGATGGAAGGAGGGAGAATGGGACGGGGTGATGGAAGGAGAGAGAATGGGGCGGGGTGATGGAAAGCGGGAGAATGGGGCGGGGTGATGGAAAGCGGGAGAATGGGGCGGGGTGATGGAAAGCGGGAGAATGGGGTGGGGTGATGGAAAGCGGGAGAATGGGGCGGGGTGATGGAAAGCGGGAGAGAATGGGGCGGGGTGATGGAAAGCGGGAGAATGGGGCGGGGTGATGGAAAGCGGGAGAATGGGGCGGGGTGATGGAAAGCGGGAGAATGGGGCGGGGTGATGGAAAGCGGGAGAATGGGGCGGGGTGATGGAAAGCGGGAGAATGGGGCGGGGTGATGGAAAGCGGGAGAAATGGGGCGGGGTGAGGGAAAGCGGAGAAATGGGGCGGGGTGATGGAAAGCGGGAGAATGGGGCGGGGTGATGGAAAGCAGGAGAATGGGGCGGTGGTGATGGAAAGGAGGGAGAATGGGGCGGGGTGATGGAAGGAGGGAGAATGGGGCGTGGTGATGGAAAGCGGGAGAATGGGGCGGGGTGATGGAAAGCGGGAGAATGGGGCGGGATGATGGAAAGCGGGAGAATGGGGCGGGGTGATGGAAAGCGGGAGAATGGGGCGGGGTGATGGAAAGCGGGAGAATGGGGCGGGGTGATGGAAAGCGGGAGAATGGGGCGGGGTGATGGAAAGCGGGAGAATGGGGGCGGGGGTGATGGAAAGCGGGAGAATGGGGCGGGGTGATGGAAAGCGGGAGAATGGGGCGGGGTGATGGAAAGCGGGAGAAATGGGGCGGGGTGATGGAAAGCGGGAGAATGGGGCGGGGTGATGGAAAGCGGGAGAATGGGGGCGGGGTGATGGAACGCGGGAGAATGGGGCGGGGTGATGGAAAACGCGGGAGAATGGGGCGGGGTGATGGAAAGCAGGAGAATGGGGCGGGGTGATGGAAGGAGGGAGAATGGGGCGGGTGATGGAAGGAGAGAGAATGGGGCTGGGTGATGGAAAGCGGGAGAATGGGGCGGGGTGATGGAAAGCGGGAGAATGGGGCGGGATGACGGAAAGCGGGAGAATGGGGCGGGGTGATGGAAAGCGGGAGAATGGGGCGGGATGATGGAAAGCGGGAGAATGGGGCGGGGTGATGGAAAGCGGGAGAATGGGGCGGGGTGATGGAGAGCGGGAGAATGGGGCGGGGTGATGGAAAGCGGGAAGAATGGGGCGGGGTGATGGAAAGCGGGAGAATGGGGCGGGGTGATGGAAAGCGGGAGAATGGGGCGGGGTGATGGAAAGCGGGAGAATGGGCGTGGTGATGGAAAGAGGAGAATGGGCGGGGTGATGGAAGAGGGAGAATGGGGCGGGGTGATGGAAAGCGGGAGAATGGGGCGGGGTGATGGAAAGCGGGAGAATGGGGCGGGATGATGGAAAGCGGGAGAATGGGGCGGGGTGATGGAAAGCGGGAGAATGGGGCGGGGTGATGGAAAGCGGAGAATGGGGCGGAGTGATGGAAGGAGGGAGAATGGGGCGGGGTGATGGAAGGAGGGAGAATGGGGCGGGGTGATGGAAAGCGGGAGAATGGGGCGGGGTGATGGAAAGCGGGAGAATGGGGCGGGGTGATGGAAGGAGGGAGAATGGGGCGGGGTGATGGAAGGAGGGAGAATGGGGCGGGGTGATGGAAGGCGGGAGAATGGGGCGGGGTGATGGAAAGCGGGAGAATGGGGCGGGGTGATGGAAAGCGGGAGAATGGGGCGGGGTGATGGAAAGCGGGAGAATGGGGCGGGGTGATGGAAAGCGGGAGAATGGGGGCGGGGTGATGGAAAGCGGGAGAATGGCGCGGGGTGATGGAAAGCAGGAGAATGGGGCGGGGGTGATGGAAGGAGGGAGAATGGGGCGGGGTGATGGAAGGAGAGAGAATGGGGCGGGGTGATGGAAAGCGGGAGAATGGGGCGGGGTGATGGAAAGCGGGAGAATGGGGCTGGGTGACGGAAAGCGGGAGAATGGGGCGGGGTGATGGAAAGCGGGAGAATGGGGCGGGGTGATGGAAAGCGGGGAGAATGGGGCGGGGTGATGGAGAGCGGGAGAATGGGGCGGGGTGATGGAAAGCGGGAGAATGGGGCGGGGTGATGGAAAGCGGGAGAATGGGGCGGGGTGATGGAAGGAGGGAGAATGGGACGGGGTGATGGAAGGAGAGAGAATGGGGGGGGGTGATGGAAAGCGGGAGAATGGGGCGGGGGTGATGGAAAGCGGAAGAATGGGGCGGGGTGATGGAAAGCGGGAGAATGGGGCGGGGTGATGGAAAGCGGGAGAATGGGGCGTGGGTGATGGAAAGAGGGAGAATGGGGCGGGGTGATGGAAGGAGGGAGAATGGGGCGGGGTGATGGAAAGCGGGAGAATGGGGCGGGGTGATGGAAGCGGGTAAATGGGGCGGGGTGATGGAAAGCGGGAGAATGGGGCGGGGTGATGGAAAGCGGGAGAATGGGGCGTGGTGATGGAAAGAGGGAGAATGGGGCGGGGTGATGGAAGGAGGGAGAATGGGGCGGGGTGATGGAAAGCGGGAGAATGGGGCGGGGGTGATGGAAAGCGGGAGAATGGGGCGGGATGATGGAAAGCGGGAGAATGGGGCGGGGTGATGGAAAGCGGGAGAATGGGCGGGGTGATGGAAAGCGGGAGAATGGGGCGGGGTGATGGAAAGCGGGAGAATGGGGCGGGGTGATGGAAAGCGGGAGAATGGGGCGGGGATGATGGAAAGCGGGAGAATGGGGCGGGGTGATGGAAAGCGGGAGAATGGGGCGGGGTGATGGAAAGCGGGAGAATGGGGCGGGTGATGGAAAGCGGGAGAATGGGGGCGGGTGATGGAAAGCGGGAGAATGGGGCGGGGTGAGGGAAAGCGGAGAATGGGGCGGGGTGATGGAAAGCGGGAGAATGGGGCGGGGTGATGGAAAGAGGGAGAATGGGGCGGGGTGATGGAAGGAGGGAGAATGGGGCGGGGTGATGGAAAGCGGGAGAATGGGGCGGGGTGATGGAAAGCAGGAGAATGGGGCGGGGTGATGGAAGGAGGGAGAATGGGGCGGGGTGATGGAAAGCGGGAGAATGGGGCGGGGTGATGGAAAGCGGGAGAATGGGGCGGGGTGATGGAAAGCGGGAGAATGGGGGGGTGATGGAAAGCGGGAGAATGGGGCGGGGTGATGGAAAGCGGGAGAATGGGGCGGGGTGATGGAAAGCGGGAGAATGGGGCGGGGTGATGGAAAGCGGAGAATGGGGCGGGGTGATGGAAAGCGGGAGAATGGGGCGGGGTGATGGAAAGCGGGAGAATGGGGCGGGGTGATGGAAAGCGGGAGAATGGGCGGGGTGATGGAAAGCGGGAGAATGGGGCGGGGTGATGGAAAGCGGGAGAATGGGGCGGGTGATGGGAAAGCGGGAGAATGGGCGTGGTGATGGAAAGAGGGAGAATGGGGCGGGGTGATGGAAGGAGGGAGAATGGGTCGGGGTGATGGAAAGCGGGAGAATGGGGCGGGGGTGATGGAAAGCGAGAGAATGGGCGGGATGACGGAAAGCGGGAGAATGGGGCGGGGTGATGGAAAGCGGGAGAATGGGGCGGGGTGATGAAAGCGGGAGAATGGGGCGGGGTGATGGAGAGCGGGAGAATGGGGCGGGGTGATGGAAAGCGGGAGAATGTGGCGGGGGTGATGGAAAGCGGGAGAATAGGGCGGGGTGATGGAAAGCGGGAGAATGGGGCGGGGGTGATGGAAGGAGGGAGAATGGGCGGGGTGATGGAAAGCGGGAGAATGGGGCGGGGTGATGGAAGCGGGAGAATGGGGCGGGGTGATGGAAAGCGGGAGAATGGGGCGGGGTGATGGAAAGCAGGAGAATGGGGCGGGGTGGATGGAAGGAGGGAGAATGGGCGGGGTGATGGAAGCGGAAGAATGGGGCGGGGTGATGGAAAGCGGGAGAATGGGGCGGGGTGATGGAAAGCGGGAGAATGGGGCGGGGTGATGGAAAGCGGGAGAATGGGGCGGGGTGATGGAAAGCGGGAGAAATGGGGCGGGGTGATGGAAAGCGGGAGAATGGGGCGGGGTGATGGAAAGCGGGAGAATGGGGCGGGGTGATGGAAAGCGGGAGAATGGGGCGGGGTGATGGAAAGCGGGAGAATGGGGCGGGGTGATGGAAGGAGGGAGAATGGGGCGGGGTGATGGAAGGCGGGAGAATGGGGCGGGGTGATGGAAAGCGGGAGAATGGGGCGGGGTGATGGAAAGCGGGAGAATGGGGCGGGGTGATGGAAGCGGGAGAATGGGGCGGGGTGATGGAAAGCGGGAGAATGGGGCGGGGTGATGGAAGAGGGAGAATGGGGCGGGGTGATGGAAGGAGGGAGAATGGGGCGGGGTGATGGAAGCGGGAGAATGGGGCGGGGTGATGGAAAGCGGGAGAATGGGGCGGGGTGATGGAAAGCGGGAGAATGGGCGGGGTGATGGAAAGCGGGAGAATGGGGCGGGGTGATGGAAGCGGGAGAATGGGGCGGGGTGATGGAAAGAGGGAGAATGGGCGGGGTGATGGAAAGCGGGAGAATGGGGCGGGGTGATGGAAAGCGGGAGAATGGGGCGGGGTGATGGAAAGCGGGAGAATGGGGCGGGGTGATGGAAAGCGGGAGAATGGGGCGGGGTGATGGAAAGCGGGAGAATGGGGCGGGGTGATGGAAGCGGGAGAATGGGGCGGGGTGATGGAAAGCGGGAGAATGGGGCGGGGTGATGGAAAGCGGGAGAATGGGGCGGGGTGATGGAAAGCGGAGAATGGGGCGGGGTGATGGAAAGCGGGAGAATGGGGCGGGGTGATGGAAAGCGGGAGAATGGGGCGGGGTGATGGAAAGCGGGAGAATGGGGCGGGGTGATGGAAGGAGGAGAATGGGGCGGGGTGATGGAAGGAGGGAGAATGGGGCGGGTGATGGAAAGCGGGAGAATGGGGCGGGGTGATGAAAGCGGGAGAATGGGGCGGGGTGATGGAAAGCGGGAGAATGGGGCGGGGTGATGGAAAGCGGGAGAATGGGGCGGGGTGATGGAAAGGGGAGAATGGGGCGGGGTGATGGAAGGAGGGAGAATGGGGCGGGGTGATGGAAAGCGGGAGAATGGGGCGGGGTGATGGAAGCGGGAGAATGGGGCGGGGTGATGGAAAGCGGGAGAATGGGGCGGGGTGATGGAAAGCGGGAGAATGGGGCGGGGTGATGGAAAGCGGGAGAATGGGGCGGGGTGATGGAAAGCGGAGAATGGGGCGGGGTGATGGAAAGCGGAGAATGGGGCGGGGTGATGGAAGGAGGGAGAATGGGGCGGGGTGATGGAAGGCGGGAGAATGGGGCGGGGTGATGGAAAGCGGGAGAATGGGGCGGGGTGATGGAAAGCGGGAGAATGGGGCGGGTGATGGAAGGCGGGAGAATGGGGCGGGGTGATGGAAGGAGGGAGAATGGGGCGGGGTGATGGAAGGCGGAGAATGGGGCGGGGTGATGGAAAGCGGGAGAATGGGGCGGGGTGATGGAAAGCGGGAGAATGGGGCGGGGTGATGGAAAGCGGGAGAATGGGGGCGGGGTGATGGAAAGCGGAGAATGGGGCGGGGTGATGGAAAGCGGGAGAATGGGGCGGGGTGATGGAAAGCGGGAGAATGGGGCGGGTGATGGAAAGCGGGAGAATGGGGCGGGGTGATGGAAAGCGGGAGAATGGGGCGGGGTGATGGAAAGCGGGAGAATGGGGCGGGGTGATGGAAAGCGGGAGAATGGGGCGGGGTGATGGAAAGCGGGAGAATGGGGCGGGGTGATGGAAAGCGGGAGAATGGGGCGGGGTGATGGAAAGAGGGAGAATGGGGCGGGGTGATGGAAGGAGGGAGAATGGGGCGGGGTGATGGAAAGCGGGAGAATGGGGCGGGGTGATGGAAGCGGGAGAATGGGGCGGGTGATGGAAAGCGGGAGAATGGGGCGGGGTGATGGAAAGCGGGAGAATGGGGCGGGGTGATGGAAAG